TGGGTGCCGACACACAGTCCAAGTCAATTAAAAAACATCCTGAATTTGCAAATTGGCCCTATGCTTTCACCAATGTAAAAATGACCAACCCTGCAAAGCAACCCAGCGCGCTCGCTTGTGATTCAACACCACCGCTCGCCACAAGCGGCAGACTCTGCTTCCAAGGTAGTTTCCGGCGAGGGGCAGGTGGGGAGATAGCTGCCCCTAATAGCAGCTAAAATAAATAAAACTAAACTACTAATACAAGTTTTTTTTTTCGAATTTTAGTTTTATCTGTTGTTCATTTTTGTAAGAAATACATTTCGTCGTGATAAACCTTGCCGCAACCGCTCATCTTCCATCCAACATGACCTACCTCCCCTGGAGCTCTTTCCTTACGAATTTGAGAGTTCTTGTCTGAGTCTACTGCGAAACACGTTAGTTGTGTAATCACACGCAAAAGGTAGGTGCAAACTGGAAAAGTGCGGTAAAGTTGGGAGTCTTTCGGAATTTTCGAATGAGAAAATTGATTTATCGACACAAATAGGCACAAATTAAGAACGGTAATTTTCGAGAACAAAAACAGAAATTAAGCTATGACATGTGAATTTCATTCACAAAACCTCTCTGAAATCTCTTCTTTACATAATTTAAATAGAAAGTGATACAGTAGTTATATGATATACAAAACTAACAAACTTACATTGGTTAGAAAATAAAATAACTCAAATAAAATGGACTTTTACAATAATAAAAGCATTGAATGTACTGGGAATGGCCTGCTCCCACCGAATGTCATTTGACCTTGAGGAAACAACCCTCTACAACGCCACCTTCGGCGCCCGCGTGCTCGCCGTTCGGCTTGCAAGGGCTGTCCTCGTTCTCTGTAGAAACGAAAAATAGTTCCAAAAAGTATCGGCATATTGATATATACGTTTACCATGATTTGCTTAGTGTTATATTGATAGATTATAACTGATCCACTTCTGTCTTACAGAAATATTTGCACGTCCTTTTAGAAAACTGCCAACGTTGAAAATCAAACTGAAAAGTTTGAGAAAATGAAACCTGAAACCAATAACGTTCATCATTTTACCCCGATGATTTAACAAACATTTCCGAAGATTTTGCCATGTTCACCTGTGTTCGAGGCTTTCTCTGCACTCGCACGAGTACAGGTATTTGCGCTACTTACGAATGGAAATTGGCTGGCAAGCGAGGATGAGGAGAAAACTGGCCGCGGGGGCTGTCCGCCTCTCCGTCCCCTTCCCGTAATACAGTAGAATACATGATGCAATATTTCTGTGCTAAAATGGCAAACTGATATACTAAGTCATTTGTTCATGACATGAGACACAAAATAACATAAGTCACTCTAGTATGTTAATTTTCAGAAGAAAGGAAAATGTGCATTTCTCTTGTAGTTAATGAAAAAAAGGTGGCAAAATACAAAAGCCACAGAGTAATTTTTCATAACATGTTCATGCTAAAATTGTCATGAAACTTTTTTTAGAAGTGACTTATAACATTTTGCCATCATAGCCCAGATAACATGCAAACGTTACTATCTTCTGAAGGAGCGCTCTAGTTTCTCAGGGGCGACTGAACTAGAAGTATAAATTATAAGGATTTATCTTCGAATATGTTAGGAATTTATATTTAATTTACAAAGCCCTGTGAAGACCATCAATGATTTCTAATTTACAGCAAGGACACGAATATCTAGCATGTTTTCACCTTTTACAATCGAGAGAAGGTGATTTTTGTGTTGTAATTTTATCAATTACTTCGGTCGTATACTACGAACAATAGGTTGAAGTGCGCAATCGCAATTTCATGAAATTATATTGTTTTAACATATTTATTTTTTCTAGTTGGAATACACCGTTTAGTATAATTATCATTACTTTACAGATGTATTTTTAGACTTATGATAGTGAAAATATCTAAGTAACTTAATCTATACGTTGGATAGGACAGTAGGGGAGAACTTCGGGGTTATGTATCAAGATGTTGAGAAAGGCTTCAAACGGGAATCTTTTTTTATTCGGGTGTGGGTTGGAGTTTTCGGTAGTTTGAAATGGGATGCTGTTGGGATGTCTGTTAGGTTTTGGAAGAAAGTGTGTGATATAAGGGCAACTTAGTTTATTATTGTACTGATTAATTCGCAATGGAGTTGTTATTACATATGTACCAGGGGGCATTTGTGATTAATCTGATAAATTTGTATAGAATTACTTTGATTTTACTGACATTTGTGGGGGCTGCATTTGTCCACATTAGGCATGCGTAGAGCATTAGTGGCCTTATTATAGCTTTATAAATTATTGTAGAGTTTGTGTATGACAGGGATGTATGTTTGTTGAATAGTCGCCGGAGTTGGAATAATTTATTTCTAGCTTGTTTAATTTTGATATCTATACGGGTTTTCCTGGTTAATTTTCGCTCCAGGGAACGTCCTAAGTATTTTATGGGTTGTGATGGTAGGGTCCAGGTGATGGGGGAAAATGAATTGGTATATTACCACACACTTGTACTTCTCTCTTCTCAAAAAATCAGCGCACACAATTTTTGTTTTTTTCATTAAATTGAAGGAATTTTTATTAAGTTATTATTTAGAGCGTCCGTGTTTTTGGAACTGGCTTTCTTCGCGGCGCGGCGGCGCCTGGCGTGCACTGTGGACTAAGACTTCCGGCTGCTGCGGTCGCGCCTTGAACCGCGAATGCAGATACCACGTCCTCGTTTTGCAAGCCTCCGATAAGACATAACTGCTTCCGAACAAAATCTTTAAGACCTTATCTCCGTGTGTCTATATTGAAGGAAAGTTGACAGTTTGCAAACGTCGTTATGACAGTTCGCCATGACGTATTACAATATTCATCACGCCCACGCTAAATGTGTTAACGTTACCTCGAACTCTTGTACAAGCGAAGGAAGATGATACAGCCAGCAACTTCATGCCGAATTTTTACCGTGTTATTTTACGATTTATTTGACAAGAGATGTTTGTTGAATCGCATATTCTGTCATGAACAATCTAATTTCCAAGCCCAGAAGATTTATTACAAGATTTTGAGATATTTCTTCCTTTTGGAATTAGGAAAAAAATATTTTCTACAAAACTATAACACCTTTCAAAACTGAATATTGAAGATTATTAGGACGTATAGTTTCACAGGAAATTAGGAGATTTTCATACATTTAAGAATCGTTTACTCATATCAAACTGAGAAATAAATTAAAACAAAAAAAGATTAAAACGTATTCCCATAAAAAGAAAAACAAATGAAGATACTGTTTAAATAGTTCCCAATTCCTACTAATCGTGATTTCTTTTCCGCATTCAGGCAAATATTTGCCGAGACAGGAGGACTACAAAAGAATCCTTTCTCGCGCTGATGGGGAGAGAGGAAAGTGACAGAGGAGAAACCAGTTTGGAATGCCGCTTCCCCCATCCGAGCAAGAAGGCCACCTGCGCTCGGTGGGTGTACTCGTAGGTGCAGGCCAAAGCCATCGCCACAGGTATAATAACCGGGAGCGGAGCTGCGCCTAGGGAGAAAGCCAGAAAACAGGTGACCCGTCCTCTCTTACTCTCCTTAAGAAACACGAGATTAGTGGGAATTCCGAAATTCCCACACCCGAATAGTTCAAATTATTCCTGCGAAATGTTCTTGAAAATAGTTGAAGAAATAACTGACACGAAAATATATAAACACTTCCTATATTTTTTTTAGAATTACTAAATTTTTTATTGATAACATTTCTATTTTATGACTTTTGAATATTCTTCCAGATTTTTTTCTAGATGAAAATGAGAAAAGTTGTGCCTACTTTTGCTTTCTCTAACGTAATGCTAGTACAAGTATGTTCATTGTTGATTTTCGCAAATTTTTAAAACCCTTTTTAATATTTTCCAAACCTTTTGAGAATTTTCGCTAGAACCTAAATCCAGTACATGAACGTGTTCCCCATTCAAGAACAATGCATGTTATGAAAGCGTAGTGGGTATTTCGCGCATGCGGAGTGCATGAAAGGCACACGAGCGAAGTTTGAAATCAGCTAAAACATAATGCAATCAGACATGATACCACGTCCATTCGCATATCATTTACCGTGTATATATTAACTGCACCCACTCGCCAACAATGCACGTAACTATGGATCAGAGAGCGAGAGACGATTTTCCATCGCCAATCCAGCGCGTGGCTCCCGCCACACTCCTCGGGAGGCGTAGCGTCGGCGTTGGCAATGGTGGGGGCGGCGCGGGAGGGGGCAATGCCGCGGGTAACCTTGCCGCGGCGCGGTGACGTAATCACCGCCCACAAAGAACCGGCTCCAGCCGAGGCAGCTTGAGGCAGGCCGACGCAGACGACGCCGCGGCGCCGAGGTCGCGTCGCGTCGGTCGCTTCCTAAATGCCGTTCACAGCCCGCGCCCCGCTATTCAACTATTGCGCAGGGTGGCCACCGCCATCGACCGCCGTCTGTCACACCCCCGCCATGTGAAGCAACACGCGGGAAACGCTCGATAATACGAAAACGACTGCTACACTAATACTAGCGCTACATCACTTTCGCAACGCGCTAGAGAAATAAATACCTCGCAGCAAGATCTACGATTTCCTATACAGGCGATGTCTGTAAAGGGAAACTGATCGCTGGGGCACAAAACAGCTCATCGGCTTTAAACGACGGCACCGTTGCCGCCCTTTGCGAGATCAATACCGCAATGCAGTAAACCCTTCGCAAGGAACAAATGCCTACGTGCAACTTAGTGTTGCAAGAATGCCGGAATGCAGCACACCGCGTTCACTGACCCGGAAAATGTCCGTCATTAGACGTATAAAATTTGAACTGCCTGACAGTCAAACGTAATTCATTAAAGAGTCCACACAAAAAGCTCACGGAGTCCATGATGTCAACTTGACATCTAAAAATACCTTTTTGTTTACGTGCCGCGCGTGGCTTGTGAAATAAAAAGACATCCAAGTATAAAAATAAACAACGCTACTGGTCAGACGTACCTTCTTTGGCTTGAAGGCGTGGACAGCGTTCATTTTCATTGCTCTCTTCGTGATGTAATACGCTAATCCTCCTCCCACTGCACACGCACATATTGTAGAAACTACACGGAACTTATTATTATTTTTCACTGTCACTATAGTCCTTCTGGAGCACGTGGAAATAACAGGTTTTCGCAAGACGTTTAGAGACCACCTTCCTAGCGTAGCCATGTTGGCCGTCGGCGTATCGTCACTGAGAACAGCTGAGAGCTAGCCAAGCAGGGTCGCCAACTCTGGTGGCATGGCACCAAAAAAATTAATGTCCCTACGTCAACATCTAAGTATCTTATATGCGGGCAAATGTATTGACAAATGATGTGTACAGAGTGACGGATAATACTGTATTTCATGTTTATTTACTCTGAGAATTACATTTTATTTCTTCTTTTCCTCAAAATTGTGATCATGACGAAATGTAAAGACACCTAATACACAATAAAAATAAATTCTTTAGAATATTGAAAAACTTTAGTGCAATGTGAGAAGAATATAGAGTGCCTTGCCTAATACAATAAAGATAATACATCACACTTTCGTCCATTGTATGCAAATCAACAACGGACGCACGCTGTGGGTTCTGGTACAGAGGCGCACGGTGCTCAGGCACGAGGGCGGAGGGATTTATAAAAGAGGGTTGCACCGCCCTGGTGGCGCCCCTGGGCCGTGCATAGTCAACGAAGCCAACAATGCTTACGCCGAACGTGAAATAAAACGAGTAGTCTTAATATAGGGCCTGCGTCGTCTTATCTCGGTGAGATCGCGGTCACTACGCATACCCCAAAGGCGGCCGCCAAAGCCCTGACCCTTCGTTCCGCACTAAGGTTGGGTCTCATGTTACGAATGCTATCATGTAGTTATTTAGAATAATGGATTTCGTAATATTCATGCCCAATAACTTTTGATGTTCAAAATTGATGATCTTGGGGCGATTGTAATTACAGCTGTACATACAGTACGTCATGGGCTTATTATTAATAGGTATCGTCTGACGTGATTAATTCGAATTATACTCTTCAAAAATACAGCGCATTGTTAAATAATACGAGCTGATACGAACTAGTTGTTTCTTAACTTTTCTCTTGCATGCCTTCTATTCACACTATTAGATCAAGCTATCAAATTTTTGCACGTTTCCAAGATACTCACATGTAAGGTAATTGTCTCCAAAATGAATAGAATGTCAATAAGCGTCAAATACGAAATGACCTAGTATCCACTGGGATTTAATTATTTTTGTTTAGTTTTAACACAGTTTTTAAAACAAAACTGGAAAATGATATAATAAAAGTATGCAGTAAATCCCCTTGCAACTTCAAAATTTGAGTGTAAAAGTAAAATTAAAATTTATTTCATTGCACCGTTCTTGAAAAGCATAAAGTGAGCAACATAGACAGCAGAGTTCGCTAGCTAAAGTACTATCTTAATAAAAACCTATTTCAGTGTTGAACTGACCTTCATGCGAATTTTAACTTTTTACACATCTGAGAAGTTAGCAAGTTTTTCAATAAAATAATCAGGATGCAAATGTATCTTTCCGATGATTTTCCATTTAAAAATTGCTACTTTAACAATTTTTAAAGTATCTTAGCGTTCAGAGCTTTCCTGTCAATTTCATTTCTCAAATTATTTCATAATTGATGATTTCTACATAGTTATACATATTACACAATTTTCAGTTTCTCATTACACTCTTCAAAAATACAACACATTGTTAAATCATACAAGCTGATACGAACTAGTTGTTTCAATACGTACAATATACGCGGAGTATACATGAAGCTTATGAAATATTGCGGAAAATCAATTTCAAAATTTCCACGAAAATACAGGTTTTTCAGATTCCCTGATATTCAAAAAAGCTTTTGCTTTCTTTCTTTCCGTCTGTGAACAATACTAGCAGATAAACTAGTCCTAGAAGTTTTCCTTATATGGATATTCCTGGGTCGATCTCCCTCGATTCAAAGCAGAGTAATTTTGAAAAAGAAAAAAATACTTAAATGTTGGGGTTCTTTTCACGAAGCCCCAGGGACATTTTCAAAGTTTTATCAAAATCTGCATCAATTTTCACCCTTTAATATGTACTTTACTAGCAATAAATAACGTATTACAATAATTGTAAATTTATTATAGAGTGCTTTTTTTTTTTTCTTACTTAATTCGATAAGATTTGCATTAAGCTTCGAAAATGTTTGTTGTATTTACTGCAAATTTACACGTTTATCCGAATGTACACAAAGTGAAAGACAAGTAAGAAGTAATATTTAACTACCGTACCTACAAATTAGTTTATAATAGCATATGCTCATTTACTATTTTACATTATTCTAAGTTTTGCAAAATCAAAAAGTACGAAGTTCAAATTTTTTGAGGACGTGTTGTCAGCAAAAACGAAACGTTTTAGTGGGCATTGTTGCTAACAAACTCTCTTGCAAAAAAACACTTCTTTTGATGCATTGTCATTTCGCAAAATGACAACAGAGTGGTTTCAACATTCTTCGAATTCATCAGATCGTTGTCAGTCGTGATGATTTATGATGGAGATGATATTCTTATGAAAGGAAATAGATTGAAGGAAGGTAATAATAATAAATTGAACTTAGAGTTAACACACACTTCTTTACTGTAAGAATTTTTGATCGCTGATTATGGTATTCAAATATTGAAAACTAACTTCTGTATAATGAAAGCAGATTTATGTGAAATTATTCTTGTTGATGTGCTGTAAATACTGCAACAGTTAAATTTATTCCTGTTTGTTTCATTAGTAAAAGTAAGAAATGATTTCTGCTCCTGAGTATCGGAAGGAATGCAGATGTGCATCTCCGGCTCTTTGTTTCAATTGGTTGAAATGGACGCTTCAAGTAATTTGTTGAGGTATTAGGTCAGAAATTGCAATATTACAATGCTACCCCGCTGCCAATTAATGCATTTGGATGTTACGTAAGTTAGAATTTGTATATTATTTCATATTTCATTTTATTATTATTATTGATCATATTTATGTTATATCATTTTAAATTGCATTTTTAATAGTGTTAAAATTGAAAACCTTTAGATGAGCGGTCATTGTTGGTTGTTACCCATTGTTGTCACGCGGCACAGATAACAGTAAGCGATAATGACAGTTGTTTTTCGTTCGCGGTAATAAAAACGAGTACTGTTATATCTGTAGAACATTTCATTACCTTAGTGTTTAATAATTACTATTATATACTTTTCATTCTATTTGAATTTGTTTGCCAATGCTATCTGTCGTATTATTTATTAACTTTTCACATGAGTAAAAAAAATCGGAGAGAAATTGGGTGTAAATAGTATTACATAACCATTACAATGTGTGTGCATATTTCAACATTTTTGTGGCATATTTGCATGCACATTACAAGGCTAATAGCTTCCCAGCGCTAACCATTACTAATGGCGAGAAAGTTCATGCGTATGGCATTAAGGGTCTGACTATCGATTTGTATAATGTGATGGCATTGCCTTACGATAAGCGGCTTTTGCAGTTTATGACAGGTTTTAATTAAGCTATTTTACATTTTTCTTGTTGTATTTTGATTGTCATATGTGAATTGTAGTTCAGTTTTGTATCTTAAATTCATTCGAAGGCGCTGTTTAATTGTTTGACAGTGAGTATTCTATGGTATTGTATTGTTGTTGATTATTAAGGGGGAAGGAGTGGAGAAATGCTTAAGCGAGAATATCTTGGCAGTGGATTTTATTTCGTTTAATCTAATTTTCCAAAACCTATTTACCAGTTGCGTATTCTGTCTAGCTGTATTTTGTCACTAATTGTTTTCATTGATTGTCATTGACTGGATTTCTATATTACAGTGTCATCTGCAAACTGGGCTGTGCGGTTTGTTGACGGAATATCTGAGGAGTAAATATTTAATAGTTTTGTTGAGAGGGAGAAAGTGGGGAGTCTTGAGGTAGTCCTGCTAGTATTTTGCGGAGGATTGACCTTTGTTTTTGTATAATCACTGTGAATGATCTGTTAAAAACGGTTTTATGCTGTTGACCAGACAGAGTCGTGTTCCAATTGGTAGTAATTTAAATAATAGGCCTTGGTGCCAAACTGTCAAAGGCTTGTGATATGGCCAGGAAAGTTACTATTCGTATTGCGTGCTTTTTGTCATGGTATGCTGATTGTTGTTAGTCTGAGAAGCTGATATGAAGTTGAAACTTAGATAATAAAGCCACACTGATGTTTAGGTATGTTTTGTTTTATTTAAATAATTCTTTAACCTCTACATAATTAATTTCTCTAAAACTTTTGACAGTCATGGCAGTAAGCTGATAGGTCTGTAATTTTCTGGATAACTGTGATTATTATTTGGGTTTGAACCAGGAATAATTTTGGGGTTTTGCAAAGTATTGGAGATTTTTCAAAGTAACCGATTCTTAATATTGATTTGTAGATATTATTTACGTAGGCTATTGTTGTGGGCAGAATTTTTAGAATTTTATTGCTGTTATTGTCTTGACCGGTGAAATTAATTTTATTTTTTGTGGTACACTATAGTTCAGGATTTTCTGGATGGGCTCGAATCTCATAAGGCGATCAGCTAATGCTTTAGCTTTGTGAAAAGGGGAAAGTTATGTTCCAGTGGGCGTGTCCGACCTTCATGCTTGAGCGTTGCTGTTGACGGTTGACTCGTGCAGACAACTGGGACGGGTCGTCCCTCTGGGGGGCTTTGGATTTGAGCACCATGTAGATGCTCACTTTTGTGATGATCACATCACGATTGTGATGATAACTTTTGAGAAAGGGTAATATTCACTACTGAGTAAATTGGACTTAACGCAAGTCGACACTGACTGCTAGTCCCGCAGCAGTACAAACACCTCAGCGATCGGCGCAAGGTCGTATAGTAACTAAGTAAATTAATGATGGTCGCCGGTAACGGTGCGGAGCGATCGACGAAAAAATGTTTTTTACCACATTTAAATTTGCTCTGTGGTAAAGCATCACCTAAAATGATCCTGTGTATTATCCAGAAAGGCAAAAAAAGGTATTGTTTGTGACCTTGTTGATTGTGGTTTGAAGTTAGCTAATTTAAAATTGCACGGTAACGACAGAAGACCAAGATAAGCTGACGGTGCTATTCACTGATAATGTCACCAGGAGAGTGATAGTTACAGATGGATGCCTTGGAGACACCGAT